CACCAACAGCCAATTGGCTTGCCCCTTTCCCCACATCCTCGCCAGCAAATTTTGTTTTTATTGTTTTGAAGGATTTTCATTATAAATAGGATGAGGTGAAACATCACTCTGATTTTCACTTGCATTTCCCTGAGGTTAGCGATCCTAGGCATTTTTTTTAAAAAGAAATTATTTTATTTTTATTGGAAAGGCGGATATACAGAGAGGAGGAGGAGAGACAGAGAGGAAGATCTTCCGTCCAATGATTCACTCCCTAGGCGGCCGCAACGGCTGGAGCTGAGCCAATCCGAAGCCAGGAGCCTCTTCCAGGTCTCCCACGTGGGTGCAGGGTCCCAAAGCTTGGGCTGTCCTAGACTGCTTTCCTGGGCCACAGGCAGGGAGCTGGATGGGAAGTGGAGCTGCCGGGATTAGAACTGGGGTCCATGTGGGATCCTGGGCGTGCAAGGCAAGGACCTTAACCACTGTGCCACCGCGCTGAGCCCAGATCCTAGGCATTTTTATATGTCTCTTTTCCGCTTCTACTGCATCCTTTGAAAAGCTGATTCTTATCCTTTGCCCATTTCTTAACTGATCTTTGTTTTATTGTTCAATTTCTTTAGCACCTTATACATCATAGGCAAGAACCATCTGTAATCATTTGTAACTATATTTTCCTATCCTATTGGGTGCCTTTTGACGTTTTGCTGATTTTCTTTTCAGTTCAGAAGCTTCTTAACTTGATGGAATTCCATTTGTTCATTTTGTTTTAATATCATTGCCTGAACTTCTGGATCTTCTACAAGACATCTTTATTTACACCTGAATCTTCTAGAGTCTCCACTATGCTTTCTTCTAATAATTTGATGGTATCAAGTCACAGATTTAGATTCTTGATTCAGTTAAAGTTGATTTTTGTAAGAGGTAGAATTCTTTTTTCCATATTTCTGCCCGTAGATCCTATGTTCCCCTGCTTTATTTGTTTAACAGACTGTCCTATCTCCCTGAATTGATTTCAATCAACTTATCTAAAATTAGGTGTCTGTTGATGTATTAATTGGTTGGGCTCTTAATTTAAGGAATTTTATTGTGCTCCATTGTTTACTTTCATATTAATGTTTCTGAGGCAACACCAGGCTGTTTGTCTTTTTCATATGAACAAGCACCATCTATTATCTCATCCTTATACCACTTGTTTTGCTTTGACTCAGTTACAATTTTTACAATTAGAATACTGGGTGAAGTCATTAAGAAATGCATATTTCCCCACAAATTGCATGAGTAAAAGCACTAGATAGGCAAAATTCTTTGTGCAGACATTGGATGTGTTTTGGAGACTTCAGGTTATTTTAATTGGGAAGGGAATTTTCAGAATTGGGAGAAATACAATCAATTTACCTCCATAAAGTAGCATAGGCTATTGATCTACCCCTGAAGAGCAATGATTAAGTCACCTTCATGAAAGTAAATTACTCAGAGAACTTATTTGACAAATGGTGATGCTCAGAAAGTTTTTTCTGAATGGCAATATAGTTCCCAATGGTGAATGAAAAGGCACGTACCTTTGTTCACTAGAGAATGGGTAAGACTTTTTTCACAAATAATTTCTATGACATCACAAATCTAGACTTCATTTGGTAACTGTTACACATTCTTATTATTGTAAATGAAGAAAGAACAGAGATACATTACTTTTTCATATTACTTGGTTTAAATTTATTTTTAGGGCAAGATCATCCAATCAAACTCATTATAAAAAAGACACGGCACGCATTATGACAGCTTTGGAATTACCCTTTGACATGGCACAGTCATCCTTTCACCAGACTAAGTATTCCTTTTTTCTCATTTTGGCTTATTGATCTTAAAATGGATCACTTCACATAGTGTTATATTCAGGATTTTAACCCTCAGAATATGTACACATTGAGACTCTGGGTTGCTGTAAGGTGGCAGTCCCTCATCCCGGGGTACTGGGATGTGCGGAAAGTCATGTATGGCTTCCTCTTTGTCTCTGCCTTTCCCCCAGAAACAAGAAGAAGAAATAGCAAAATTAGAAGCAATGAATTCACCCAGTTTTCCCGGAACCTTGATCTTTCTCAATCTGATCAACCATGCAATCATTATATAAAATAAAATTAATTTAAAAAATCAAATGGACAACTGACAGAGATAAGCCAGTATTACGAATTAGTGTGTTAACTACAATTTATTTTTCTCATTATTTACAATACTATGTTATTTAAGAACAGCCAATAAGTAAGTTCTTTGTTCCTTGTGAAGAAAGAAAATACAATGATCTATAATATTAATTCTTCAGATAAAATAAATTACTTGATATTATTTAGTGGTTTTGCTATAATATTTCTCAAAAGTTGGATATAATTTTAATAAATAAAATTATGTTTTTGAAAAAGTTATGAACTTTAAAATTAAACCAAATTTGAACCTTAAGGTTTGCATTTTTAGTGGTTACATTTTTATCATTTTTGTTTATGCTACAGAAATCGTAAAAAATGGAAAATGGAAATGGCTATTGCATCACATTTGAGAAATGTGAAGAAGGTCAAAATTATATAGTATATTATTATCTTCTCTCTATGGAATATACAGAATATTAAAATGTTGATGCCACACCTTTGTGACAAAGAATAAAATGAGAACTATATGTAAAAATATAAAACAAACCTTTTGTAATGATGATTATAAGCATGGTAAGCACTTGGCTCATTGTCATTATTATCATAAGTAAATGATACTTCACTGAAGCATTCTTTCCCTCTGTGTTTAGCAGATTTTCAAGCCACTGAGAATGAAGTGACAATATATGAAAAGTGTCATAGCCTTTGCTTTACTTTGCAGAATGAATAGGTTATCATATCATAGGATTGATACTGATTTATATGTCATCTAGTAATTTAAGAATAGTATTCAAGAAAATCACTTGGTTGAAAAAAAGATATTTTGCTGTCATCATGGACAGAGACTTGTGTAATAACAAAATGACACAGTATTTCTCTACAAAAACCATGAATAAGCTTACTTTGTCAGCAGGATCAAATGTTTACTCAACTCTTGAACTCAATGAAACTTGTTATAAAGCCGTGAAGCTTTGCATTAACTAAAGAAAGTATACATCACAGAGCTATGCATAAGGTTTTGATGCCTCAATTTGCTAAGAGTTGTCCTTGGTTTCTTAGTATAGATACTCAGTATTTAGAAATGACAGAAAAATATAAAACAGAAAGGTTGCTGGGAAGGAGAACAGAGGTCTCTAGAGGAGCCGATGTGTTGGTGGCGCTTGTTACAGTGAATCTGTCATGAGTTGTTGTAATTATGTCTAAAGATTTTTGGAGTATTTATGTGAGCAGTTTGCTTTGAGAATGAGAGATGTTCCTGTCCTGTCATTTACTGCATCTTTTAGCAACTCTCTAGAGATGTAACATTTCTGTTAACACAACAACTTGATTTCTTGTCAAGATATCCTTTAACATCTGGTTCAAAAGATACTTTTGATGACTGTAAGCATCCCCCACTCTTCTGTTCATTAAAGCTGAAAATTCAGTGAATGTTTGGTATACTGGGACTGAGCTACCTCATAGTGAGCAGCTGTCAAATGATTTGCTCAATACTTCTGCTCAACCCTCCACAGTGAATGAGTGGAATCCTGCCAGCCTCGGCATATAAACAAAGTGAAGCAAATTCTATCAAGCACTATCCAGATGCTCCTGCTTAGCCTTGTGCTACCACCTGTATGTTTAGAACAACTTATTATGAACACATGGAGAAAAAGTAATTTCATGATTCTATGTACCCCTCTTGCCAGATTAGCAAAGAATCCATTATTCAGTGCTAAAAATACAATTAAGATATCGGTTATAAGCTAGGTGCCTCTTGGATCTGCGGATTTTGATAACTCCTAGTTAACTACACCATCAATAGTAGATAGTTTTGTAGAACTATCTTCTTGACCATTTTTTTTTTAATTTAGTGGCTTTTCATGTAACATACCACTGTAGTTTAGAAGACTCAAGTTTGTGATGAATCAGGTTATTCAGCAATCAAAATGTTCATCTTCCCATCCTGTATTTCACGTCCAAGTTTTTGTCATTGAAATTTTCAAAAACATTCACATGGGCATTTAAGTACTCTCCAACTGACAATAAACCAAGTGCTGTAGCAAATCATGAGGGACACACACACACACACACACACACACACACACACACACCAGGATCTGAAAAAATTATTTAATATTAGTTTTGTATGAAATATTCATGCCTTTGTTCAGAGCATGGGTGCTAAGGGGATCTATCTAATTGCAACTTATGTGTTACTAACAATGTATGCTATAATTAATAACACTAGGAAGTTAACAAGAAACAGTCGATCACACTGAAGCAGTGATCTAACTCTCCCATCTGCTCCCTCTTCTTCTTGCCTGACCTTTCTGCCTGGCTCTGTTTCTGACTTTGAAATGTTAGCTCTGTCATTCTCACTTCAGACTCATCTGGCTCCTTCCACTGTGCGTTTTTTCCTATTACTTCAATTTGGTCTGTTTTTACGGACCTTGTCCTATTTCACCCATCCAGCTCTGATCAAATCTGTTAGCATTAGATAGCCAAGAATTTCACATCTTAGACTTCATCTAGAAAAATGAATGAACAAATAAATAAATAACTCAGCCATTCCTCATGCCCAGTCAAACTACAACACAGTCGACACAAAATATTGGTAAGAATTTAACTAAGCTACGTAGAAAACACACACACACTTCCCTGCTTTAGTTATTATAAAGATGGAAAATGAAATGTGAAGCTTAGTAACTCAATGTGGCATTGAAAACACACACACACACTTTTTTAAGGCTTTTGAAATTTTATTCAATCTCCAAGTACATATGGCACATTAGTGCAAAACAGAGTAGCAGATAAAAGGTTTCAATTACAGAACCATAAACTAGCAACTTGAATCTCTTCCCATAAGGTTTTTTTTTTCTTTTCCCCTCCCTCCTCTGCCTTTAGTTAGTTGTGCTCTCCGTTTGAGGATGAAGCAGACAGCATACCCCCAGAGTAGAAATGAGCAAAATAAGAGGGCAATGGTGGAGCAAATATTGGAGGAGGAGCAAAAGCAATAGGTATTGTGAGAAGGGGGTTGAAACTCAGAAACTGAGAAGGCGCAAAGCAAGGAGCAGTACTGGGAGGAGATAAACTTGGAGTACTGGAAGACAATGGGATAGGTCTTTGCCACCTATCCACAGGGTGTTGTGGGCCCCCTGGTGGGAAGGAAACTTGAGCCAACCTTCCCTGGCTGGCTATTCTAGGATTTCCTGGAGATACCTCCATCATTACCCCGGATCTAAGGGTGGGGATATGTGGAGGACGTCTTATTTGTGGGCCCCTGCGTGGAAAGGATCCTGTACCCCTTGGCAAAGTCACATAAAATCTGGCATTCTGGCCACCTCTCTCAATGCCTCCATTGCTGACTCTTGGCCTCCCTTCCTTCAGTGAAAGAGGGCTGCCAGAGACATCTCGGGAAACATTAATAGAATCCTGATCCTTCTGCCTCCGGCCTGCCAGCCCCTCACGACTGTTTATTTCTGCTGTTGCTAGGTACTCTTCCGCAGCAGCAGGTGGTGGCCTGTAAGACTGTCTAAGAGCTCTGGAACTATCAACAGGAATGCAGGCTCCTGCTAGCTCAGAGGGTAGCTCCAGTTGCTCTCTTGTCAGGACATTGAAAGAAGGTCTCAGTGGGACGTGAGCGTGGCCCCAGACTTCTGCATCTTCCTTCAGCAAGGAGCTCAGACATTGCTTGGGCATGTCCCGGTGCAGCTCTTGCCTCCCATTTTTGTCCATGGCTACCACTATGGGTGAAGTGGTATGCCTTCCAAGGCTTCTGGAAACAAAATTTAAAGGTTAAAAGGTTAAAAATGAAACTCAGTGATCAGAAACTGAGATATATGATTGAATGAACACAGTGGAATATAACAGGAAAAAAAGGAGTAACTTCTATCTGTAGTCAAAGACATATCCCGTTAGACTACTGGCCTCTTCCTGAGGGTCTTCTTAAACATCTGCTGCATGATTATGCATCCTTTAATTTCCCATCACCTCCAATGTAGCAAGTAAGCCAAGAAGAACTAGATAGGTTCAGGCTGACTTGGCAGAGAAAACATTAACACATTTGATTCACTGTAAGCTTTTTGAACCACTAAACCCAGCACTCCAATAAAGGCAGAAGAATTCTGGAAAGTCTTTGCAGGGAACATATATTTTGTCTCCATATAACTCAAAAATATGTTAATTGTGCCAACAAACACTCCAGTTTCTTAAAATCCATACTATATTCTAAAGTAAATATTTTATCATGCTTAAACTGCACCAGAGACATGAAGAATTTAAAACACTTGTTTCTAAGTTAAATTTAAAAACAGTTGCCCTTAAACCCATTATGCATTAGATCTCAATTTGTATCATTGAAATTTTTGCCTGTGATGGTCTTGCACAAGCTCTTCAACTTAATCACCTCATTTCAGCCAAACAGCAAAACAATTCAAATTCTTTTCTCTTAAATTAAACAATTGCATTCAATTTTGTACTTACACGTTTTCAGTACAAGCCATGGAGCAATCTGATGAGGATAGCCCTTATGATATGGTGGAGCAAACCAGCTGGACGCCCACACAGGCCAGCTCACTCTGGAGAAATGACTTGTGCTTCTGCTTTAGAGCTATTTGACAAGTCGGCTGAAGCCAGGGACCAACTGCTTCTTTCTAGATTTGGAATTCCCTTTCTGGGGTGATCAGTTGCTTTGGAAGGCGGAGAGAAGATGAGAGGGAGGAGGGACTCAATCTGACACTCCTTTGAAGCTTAATGTAGGACTGCCTTTTACACAATGGATGAAGGGAAAGATATTTGCTGCATTGACTTTAGCACAAGCCATTTGGAAAGATAAATCACATAAAGAAAGGTTTTTGAAAAGTCATGGAGATGCATTTCTTTCTAACACCTTTTTTTTTGAAGTTTTAATTATAAAAGCTAATTGTCAATTGAGCAATATCCTATGGCTAATCTTGTACTTTATTTCCAATTTTGGTTAATGCCTGGTAATAGTGACTAAGTCATATTTACAAACATAGTTTCTGTATAGTAAGTCAGATTTTAGTTTGAGAAGTAGCAACATGCTCCTCAATCATTTTATATTTATTGAATACTTGAAATAGTGGGCTGTTTTTACTTAGAAATACTTACTAAGACGTTGTAATGATGTTACATCATGGTGAAGTATAACATGGATACTAAATTCTCAAAAGTTCAAAAAGCGTAGCTTTGAGGAATTCCCCAAGTTATAAAAAGTTTAATGAATTTATGTATTGGTTCATTTTCTATGCTGTGACTTGTTTGGTTTGTGCAGACAACGCACATTCATTGAATGCCTACTGCAAGCGCTCAGAGTTGTGCTGTATGTGGAATGAAACAAAACAGTCAAATACATAATGCACAAGAAAGAGTTTATTCCTGGAGAGATTAAATCTCTAAAAAAGAATAGCACAGTAGGAACTACACATAGACCTATGGGATATTCTGAGACAAAAATGGAAATTCAGAAGAATGAAGCTTAGAAGAGTAGCTTCTACTCTTCACGAACCGGTGCCCATATGGGATCCCGGCACACACAAGGCAACGACTTTAGCCACTTAGCTACTGCACTGAGCCAAAGATCCTCAAATTATAAAGCTGCAGATGAAATAAAACTCATCTTAAAACTTATTTATTTATTTATTTATGTGTGTGTTTTTTACAAAGAGACTGCCAGGCTACCACAATTATCCAATGAACATTGAAAATGAAATTATAGGTGTGTTTTCCTAACACACACACAGCCTAAAAAGCTGTGTTAGGGAAGAGAGTATGGATAAAAGAAGTTTAATTGTGAAGCCAAGTTCAAAAGGCCTTTCATAACTCACAATCTCTCATTTTATATCGCAATGCTAGATGTTAAGTATTCTCAGAATAATTTGATGAGTAAATGGAATTCTGGGAAAGTACAATAAAAGGATATATTTCTTTTTCACAATTGTTACCCGAAAATACAGATGTGCTACCAAAATAATTTTTCCAAGAAAACTTGCAGGTTTGTAAGTACAGGCAAAATGTCATTTAAAGTCTGCATTTTCTCTCTGGCCTAAATAAGGAATCCAAGGAACAGAGATGTGAGTATGAATTTTTGTTTCCATTAAGCTAATAAGAAGATAGTGTTGGAATTGCCATGTTGATCTCTGGGGAAACATTTGTCAAAAAAATCTTATCCAATAACTCACTTTTAAAAAATCATGTAGCTGTGCCCATAAAAAGCTCTTTAAATTTAGGATGTCTAAAAAACATTTTAGAAAATAGACTAGATATTTTTAGTCATCTGTGGATATTTAATTCAGTGTATTGAAGCATGAAATTAATGAAAGAGTAATATTATCTCTGATTGAGCCAAGTATAGGAAATGACATGACTTTTCTGCCATCAGCTGTTCTACAAATTCTACGTGGTAAGTGATGAGCATAAACAGGTGAGAAATTGGCTATTTCACCACTGAGAAGGGCAAAAGTACTGAACAGTGTATAGTTCACTGTTGGACCCGTGTTCAGCAGCTGAGTAGACTATTAATGCTTTATTTGAATTTGGCTTCAGATTTTAAACCTGTATCTTTTTTAAAGTTACAAAGTTTACTTTAAAACGGACTATTAAGGGGCCCAAAAGATATCAGAAGCTTTTTCAGCACAGATTACTATACCTCTTCTGAATCCGAGAGTCAATATTGAAATGAAGTAGCTCTACAATATGTTAGATGAGAAAATAAAGAAGCAAAGGGTGACAGTCTCAAGTCTGCGGGCCATCCTCTCCTGCCTCCCGGGCTCATTAAAGGAAGTTAACCTGGAAAAAGAGGTGGGACTCAATCCCAAGCATTTTGGTGTGCGGTTTAGGCATCCCTAGTGGTGGCTTACTCACTGTCCAGCCAAACAAGAAATAATTTAGACAATTATCAGAATTATACCCATTTTACAGTTTGTAGAAAGAGAAATTATGTGATAATTTTCCAATAGTCTCTATAGCTGATATATTATAGAAAATATGAAAACTTAGTCAATTTGGCACCAGAGCCAATATGTCTTGCATATGATCACATGGTTTCCTACCTATCATTCTAGGATAATCATAAAGAATGATTCCGATTAAAACATATGAATCATATCTTAGCTGAGTATATTTAGTGCATTGACATTTATCCAGATGTTCTTCTGCCAGGAGGAAATCATCTGCAGTGATCATGTAGCAGAAAGCTCGTTTGTGCAGACACAAAACATAACTGATGGAATAAGTATTCGGTAGTAGGCTTGCAGGAGAGTGAAGACCAGAAATTTGTCAAGGACAAGCTGAGTTTGAGGAAAGAAAAAAAGAAGACCTGCATGCTAGAAAATCATCATTATTGAAGAACTAACATGAATTTGTGCAAATGATATTAACATCGATGTTGAACTATTGAGCTGCAGATATAGTAGTTTTCTGCATATGCAGCAATGCTAGGACTGGACTAGGTTCCAAAGAACCTATAATCATGGTTACTTCCTCAAGTTTCCAATGTAAGAGCAAAGGGACGAAAACAAAGGTGTGTGTGTGCACGTGTGCACAGTGAATTTTGAATCATCCAATGAGATATTATTAATGGTAGTTCTGAAGAAGATCCTAAATAACAGTAAATTACAAATTTTTTTGTTCATATATAATATCAATTGTAAATTAACACAAGCAATAAATTAACAAGTAAAGAACATTAGTGGAAATAAGTAACAGTTTACAATAATAACTAAAAGCTATAAAATCATTACACTGATATGTTTACACACATGTGTGTATGTGTGTGTGTGCCTATATGAATTCTCATATTAAAATTAGTTGCTAGGTCACGGCATGCTTAATTTACTGATCAGTTGATTTGAAAGCAAAAACTACTTAAAAATAACTTCATATTACTGATAGTATAATGTAAATTCAAGTTTAAGTATTTGTATCAATTTATTTAAAGTGAATCGGGCCTGGCACAGTGGCATAGAGGCTAAAGTCCTCTCATTGAATGTGCCAGGATCCCATATGGGTGCCGGTTCTAATCCCGGTGTCCCCACTTCCCCAACCAGCTCCCTGCTTGGGACTTGTGAAAGCAGTCAAGGACAGCCCAGAGCCTTGGGACCCTGCACCCGCGTGGGAGACCCAGAGTAAGCTCCTGGGTCCTGACTTCGCATCGGCTTAGCTCCAGTTGTTGTGGCCACTTGGGGAGTGAATCAGCAGACAGAAGATATTCCTCTCTGTCTCTCCTCTCCTCTGTATATCTGTCTTTTCAATAAAAATGAATAAATCTTTTCTAAAAAATAAAGTGAATCATATTTGCCAAGCTGAGAACTTTGACTCTGAAACCGAAAGATCTGCAGTTTCAAACTCAGTTGTGTTGCTTACCAGATGTGTGACTTTAGACATGTCTTCCAACTTCTCAACCTCAGAACCCTCACTTGAAAAAAGATGGGATTGTATAAATAATTATATTGATTAATGTGTGAAAACTAGCTGTGTAAAACCTAATGACTTTCTTTGTACATGTTACATTTAATTTTCACATACTAAATGGAGATGATAATACTTCTCCATATTTAAGAGTTTTTGAGAGAAGTAAATATGATAAGTATTTGGAATTATTTTATAAACTATAGAGCATTTAATATTTTATTCTGATATAACTACTAATGAAAGTTCTGGGTCAAGAAAATCTTTGAACACACTTAAAGTTAGCACTATGTAGATAGCCAACTGTTTAACCTACACATAAGAGTGTTTTCATTTTCTAAATCATGAAGTTGGGGAGGATTATCCACACTGTTTAAAAAGTCCCAGGATGAAAAACGCTTTAAACTTTTCTATTGCTACTACATAAATCAGACCCATGGTTATATTCAACTCAGTAACTGTGTTAGAATAAAGAGTCTGCAGTTTTGTATTGGACTACATATTTAAAATTGGCCTTCATAATCTTGTGTTTCACAGCAGAACTTAACAAAGCCTCCGTATTGATGAGAGACAAACCCCTGGGTGGTTGGGGGCCAGGAAAGAAAGTTGCTTGGTATTCTGATAATGAAGAATTTGATTGATCGTATCTCTAAAGGACTTGCTCTTGAGAGTGGAAAAAACAAATTCCCACCACAGTCTCCAAACCCCAACCACAAAGCATTCTCAAGTGGGCAGATAAATGGCTCACTACAGGAAGGGCAACACTTTTATAAACTGGCTATAATTCATGATAAGAGAATACTTATGAGTGATGCTCAAAATTTAGATAATGATGGCATCCATCCAGAGATATTTTTCTTAATTCTTATCTGGGTTATGCTATGTGTTCATAGCGCTGATGTAAGGGTTTTTTTTTTTTACAGGTTTGAACATCAGAGGAATTATGGAGTCATCTTTTTGCTTTTATTTATTTAAAGTATCACATCTTTCACTTCTAGCTTTAGACCAACGAACTGACATATGTGTTTACTTAGGGGAATAATTCATTTGAAAAAAATTAGACTGTGGATGGCCA